GAGCAGAGGAAGCTCAGTGTTCCTGGAGCAAGGCTGGTGTGGAGGCTGAGCGGGGAGCTGAGAGGCTGTGGGGCGACAAGACCTCCTATCTCATCCTACCCGACCCCATCCCACCCCATCCTATCCTATCTCACCCCATCCCACCCCATCCTAACCTATCCCATCCCATCCCACCCCTGCTGAGAGGATTTGGACGTTTCTAAGGCTGTGATCCCGAGGAGGGTCCCACCCGCACACCCCTTACACCGTCCCTGTCCCAGCCCAGCTCTCAAGAGCCGGTGTGTGTCAGTGCTGTGTCAGCCCTCACCGTCCCCGCACCAGTAGTAGCTTGTCCCCATCCTGGTGGGCTCGGCTGCAGAACTTGAGCTCTCAGCACTTTTGCCTGAGGTTGTTTAGTTTGTGTTCTGCAAGCAGGTGTGGATTGACACCTCCTGAGCTGGAAAAGGGATCACCAAGCACAGGACTGTGTGTGTCTCTTTGGAGAGGGCTTGGACCTGACCCCTAGTCTGTGCCTCTGAGATGGCAGATCTGGGGACAAACTTTTCCTCCTGAAGGTGCCTCTGGCTTGCACTGGTCTCCTGCGAGCAGAGGATGGGAACCTCTGGAAAAACTTAGGTCTTGCAACTGCTGAAAACAACTGGAGAGGGAGGAATAAGGATCTATGTGAGCTTTGTGACTACTCTGCCTTGGATGGATCAGCGGTGGGTTGAGCTTTGGCCTGCAGCGTGACGGCCGAGCATGACGGCTTGCCAGTACCCCATGGCGCCTGGGGCTTTGGAGCGGGACCGGCTGTACCAGCACAAGGTCTCTTTGGTGGTGAGATATTTCATGATCCCATGCAACATCTGCCTCATCCTCTTGGCCACCTCGACGTTGGGATTTGCCGTGCTACTCTTCCTCAACAACTGTAGGTGTTCCTGGGAGCGTGGGAGGAGCAGGGGAGGGAGATGCTGGGGTGAGGTCTGCGGCGTGGTGGGGGTCTGATGTGGGACAACCCTCCCAACACTGCCAGGTTTGGCTTTGCCATGTACCCGGGTGCTCATCACTTGCCTGCTGCTGTCTGGGGAGGTGACAGCCTGCTCTGCAACTCTGCCCCACTTTCCCCTGGGATGATGTTGGCCCAGAACTGCAGAGCAGAGCTGTGGAGGTGGGTGTGCGTGGGCCAGCCCCAGCTCCCACCATGCATGGTCCTCTCATGCTCTCAGCTGTGCCAGCACCCTCTGCGTCCTGTGTCCCATTTCCCCCCGTCTCTTCCCCAAAATACTGTGTCTCCTGACCTGCTGCTTGAGGTCCGTGTGTGGGTGATGCTCCTGGGGGGATGCAGTCAGTGCGTTTGTGAGGTGGGGTCTCGGCAGGGCTGTGTGGGAGGTGAGGAGCAAAACATGGGCTTCTGTGAGTCCTGTCCTGGCCAGGAGCTGTGGCTGCTCCCTTGTTACAAGCAAACTGCCAACCTTTGAGGTCCTGTCCCTATACCTGATGGGTGGGAGATGTGTCACCTAGGTTGCTCCAGGATCCCTGCTCTCTGTGCGCTCTCTTGCTCTGAAGAATCAGCGGATGGTTGGGGCAAGACAGAGGAGTTTTCCCTGAGGTTAAGCTGTTGATCTGATCCTTGGTGTGGCAGAGTAGATCGCACATTTGGGTGTGGATACATCCATGTATGGTCAGCTGCTCTAGGTGCTGTGCGCTGTTGCCTCACCCTTGCACCCTCCCAAAGCCTGGCTTTCCTTAGGTGCAGGGCTCCATCATACAGTGAATTCTTTGACCTCCTTGATGCTGGAAAGTGTCACACACCTGCTGTGAGAAAAACCTTTAGAAGGCAGGCAGGCAGATCCTCCAGCCTAGCTTGGGGAGGCACTGCTTCCCCTGGGGTGTATGTGGTTAGAGAAATGTTGTGTAAAACTGGAAATCACATGAATGCATTTAAAAAGTGCTGGTGGGAGCAGGGTCTGGGTGATGGTAGG